TACTAGTCTTTCTAATTGTAGTTTATGTATTTAAAAAAATTTAATTCTGGTTGAAACATTTTAGTCGTTTTTTTGTCCAATCTAGCCGATCGCCCTGAAAAGTTCTGGCAACACTGGTAAGATGCAAATTAAATTTTTTTTTTTTAGTTTTTGTCTTGATTATTCACTTCACGGATGCTTTTTCAGTACGAACGCGGTCATTTTAATATGCGCGTAATTGAATTGAATATTTACCAATATACAGTACTTTCGTTGACGTTTATAGTAAGATCAATTACGTTTCTATTTGATTTTAATATTTTTACCCGTCAGTGTACGAAGCCAATGTAAAGTCAAATCCAAAAGCATTTTGGAGTTTCATTAAATCTAAAAAGACTTGCTCTAGCATTCCATCTGCTATATTTTTTAATGGTAAAAATGCAAATTCTGCTAATGAAGCGGCTAACCTCTTCGCCGATTTTTTTAAATCGAATTTTATTTCTCCGACTGATAGTGATTTTGAATTTAAGGGGAACGTGGAGTCGTCCGTTGACTTTGGCTCTATCTCTTTATCCTTGGATGATATTGCCAAAGGTATCGCTAAACTTAAGATCTCTTCACAAACAGATGCCGATGGTCTTTCGGTGGTTCTGTTTAAAAAATGCGTTTCGCTTTCCTATCCTCTCAAGTTCATCTTTAATAAATCATTATCTACAGGCAATTTTATTGATGATTGGAAGGTGGCGTATGTTACACCCATTTTTAAAAGTGGAAACAAAAATGATGTTAGTAATTACAGACCTATCTCCAAGCTGTCGACTACCTCTAAGCTGTTTGAATATATAGTTAAAGATAAGATGTTTTTTGCGGTTAAGAGCTTAATTTGTCCTAACCAGCATGGCTTAATCCCTGGTAGATNACCTATCTCCAAGCTGTCGACTACCTCTAAGCTGTTTGAATGCATTGTTAAAGATAAGATGTTTTTTGCGGTTAAGAGCTTAATTTGTCCTAACCAGCATGGCTTCATCCCTGGTAGATCTACTGTTTCAAACTTGGCTGTTTTCTCAGAAGACTGCGTATCAGCTTTCCAGAAAGGTTTTCAGGTCGATGTTGTTTATACGGACTTCTCCAAGCCCTTTGATAGAGTTTCGCATGCAATACTAATTAAGAAGTTAGCGTACCTGGGCTTTCATTCCATATTCCTCCTTTGGCTAAAGTCCTATCTCTCGAATCGAAGGTGTGTGGTTGTAGTTGACAATGCAAAGTCGTATTCATTTATTGCGTCATCGGGTGTCCCCCAAGGTAGTATTTTGGGTCCTCTGCTATTTGTCTTGTTTATCAATGGCATACAAAGCTGTTTTTCATACGCTAGTTTTTTACTTTATGCTGACGACCTTAAAATCTATTCGATAGTAAGAAACTCATTCGACTCACAAATGCTCCAAGCTGAGCTAGAAAAAGTTCTCTCTTGGTGTACTAAAAATCAGTTGTGTTTAAACTTAGCGAAATGCTATCACATTACTTTCGCTAAGTGTTTTGCTCCTATGCAGACCTACTTTATCTCCAGTTGTCGTCTGAGATCGGTTAATGAAACTTGGGAGTGATATTCGATGTAAAATTTACTTTTACTAATCATATTAATTATATAATTTCGAAATCTTATGCTATGTTAGCATTTGTAACAACAGTACGGAATTTACTAGTCCTTATACTCGTAAGTTGCTCTACACANCTAATTTGTAATTTGGTTTCTCTTGTAACGTTGTTAGCATTGAATAAGATATCGATTATGATATTGCTCTCAAATCTTTTATCTTTAATGTTTTTCCATTACAGTTTGTGTATTTTTTAAGATTATTATTTTTTGTTAAATCTCTGTATTAGTCTGTAAGACATTTTGTTTTTGTTGACTAATTTTTTACTTGAAATAAAGAAATAAATAAACACGAAAGCGGGTTCATATCGTCGCTGGAATAATGAAATAGTGCAACATGAAAATTATAGTTTTCAGAAAAACGAATTAAAAGTTTTTATAAACCATTACAAACCATATATGTAAATACAATTTGGTTTTTCGGGAATAAATTAGTGAGCCAAAGAGATATTTAAGAAAACTAAAGATTTTTCTATTAGATTAAAGGATTGTCTATCCAATAAATCAGTTGTGGCAGTCCCTAATCATGAAATATTTTCTCAAATTACATTCTGCTCAAGAAAATTTAGTGGATCTTTTCACCCGAGTTAATACTAGATTTCGGGAAAATAGATTTTGCTTTATAATTGAGAAAAATATCTACTTGACAAGCAGAGTAAAGATGCTAAAAAGCTGTTAAAGGACATAAAGGGCAAAGCTCTTTTAAGCTTTCTATATATTTTGTATTGACGCGAGCAGAGTAAATGCTCTCTGCCCGTCGCTGATCTATATTTTTTCTGAAATATTTTTTCAACATATATCGTGAATAACATACTAAAATAGTATGTACTGAAGTACACAAAGCACAAAATAAATGTTTAAAAAAGTGGAAAATTTGTGAAATTTTTCAAAAATGTTATTATATTTTATAATTCTAAGAATTTTCAATATTTTATACAAAAGTACCATGAACAAAAGATTTTACGTCAATTTGTGATGTTTCACATTTTTACATTTTAGGATGGATTTTAGGATAAATAAAATTCTCAAAATTTTGGAAAATATAAAAATTTCTAAAATCTCAATAATTTTGTACATTTCAAAATATTCTCATTTTACCAAAATTTCGAGAATCTCCCGGATTTCGATAGTTTTTGAAAATTTGGAAATTATCCTAAAAATAAGAAATCTCAAGAAATTTAATAATTTCCTAAAATTCAAAATTTGGAATTTTTGTTATTTTCTAAACCTGCGAGAATATTCAAACTTGCTGTGACTTTCAACCATGTAAAATAGTACAAATTCGAAAACACAACACAAAAAGTATAAATTTAAAATAAAGTAATTTGAAAATTCAGTGAATTCGAAGAACTGATAGGTGTTTATGTATAATTATATGTGTTATAATTATGCGCGCAGACACGGTCAATAATTGTGAAATTTTGTAAGTGCTCACGATGTTGCAGAAAAATCGCACTCACGTATGTTCACAGGGCGGCTTAATTCTTTTTTTATACAAAAATGTATAATATTGTTTTAAAACTGGTACTCGTTCCCCAATTTCCCAAAAAGTATGTGTGAACGAGGAAATATACCTCGAAGCAGCCTTTAAGCAGATTCGGGGCGCTGAGTTTTATAATGCAACGAAGACAAATGGAGTCTAAGATGCCTTCAAGCAAAAAATACAGGACAAGTTCCTTGTTTTTTGTAATTTTTTTGCCCTGATAAATACTTGGTGTGGCAAGCCATCTGCCAGTGTCGCACGAGCGCAAAAAATCATGACCACGGGCTCCATAAATCAAGAAATTTTTATGAAGGAGTGTTGGCAATATCATTTGCTGTTGTTCGTAAAGCAACATCTGTCCCGATTTAGCATTGTGCCATTGCCCCTTTGACATGAACTGGTATGTCTGTCACGGGGTTTATATTGTTCAAAAGGACCACAACTTACCAAACTGTTCAGAATTGCGACCCGTTGAAAATTATTGAAAAAAAAATAGATACAAACGAAAGAAGACATCAAAAATTATCAGAATTTCAAAATTAGTTGCCAGAGAGAAGCAGATACCGTCACAATAACGGATGTCCATATCCTAATGAGAGGGCTCAAATGTAAATTGCGCCATTTTGTTTATAATGAAGATAATTGAAATAGGTTTTTTGTTTAATATAGTAAGTTTAATGAAGAAGATGATAAAGCAGAAAGCTCTTTTATTAAGTTGTGTAATAAGTTGTTATAATGATTTTCGACTGACCAAAATTTTTCGTGTCCATTCTTTATACAACTTTTTCATGGCCAGTAGGAATAAATTCTCCAAAGGGCTAAAAAAAGTGCTAGGGGCAATTTTAAATTTATGTGGCCAAAAAAAGTATGTGGTAGCTAAATCTAGCCACCAAAGGCCTAAAACGGCAATACTGCTTGATACGCCACCTTACTCCAAACCTCAACAAACAGAAGCATATCCGGCTTGGGCCATCAAAAACACTTCCTTCGCCAACAGGACAATGTTACTCTGTAAAGAAAAAAACATCCAAAGAAGTGTACAATCATTATTTGCATCCGAGCGAGACAAACTTCTAAACCAGGTTGGGATCTACACTTTACAGATGGATCGAGAACTTCTTTCTCGACTTCTTTCGTTGCGACAAAAAAAAGTCGAATTAATCAAACATGGCTTGCTACACACCATATGCTCAGTATTCACAGCGGAACTAGCTGCCATATGTATATGAAGCCGTCAAATATACTAAACAGAATAGGGGGAGGTACGTCATATGCACAGACAGCAGATCCTGCATTGATGCAATTGAGTCACCAGCTAATACACTAAAAGAGATTGTCGCCATTCGTAACCCGCTTCAAACTTATCCAAATAAACTGAAGTTTATGTGGATTCCAGGACACATGGGAGTCAGATGTAACGTGTATCAAAACTGTCGATTAATTCCGAGGCCTCTCAAACTGATAATTTTGTGTAGAACACCTCAAAATAAGCCGAAAAAATTTTATAAAAATTATCGATAACTCGTTTAGTTATCGAGATATCTGAAGTTGAAGTTTAAAAAAATCGAAAAATTTTTACCGTTTTACAAACAATTAAGTAAGAATTATCGATAACTCGATTTGTTATCGAGATATCTCATTTTGAAGTTTTAAACAAATCGATAACTTTTTTGCGTTTTACTAGACCAGATAATTTTGTTTTTTCAAACTTCTAAAATGAAGTTATCGATAAATCGCCTAGTTAGCGAGATATCGATGATACAGGTTTTTCTGTATAATACCCTAAAATATGCAGAAAAAATTAAATATTGCGATAATTCGACTATTTATTATATTAAATAAAAACAAAAACATTTCATTATAAATTTCAGTACAAACAATATATTATGCATCATCATTACTATCATCGTCACCATCTTCCTCGTCGGAATCATTGCCATGAGCACTATTATTGTCTCTGGCATAAGCTTTTGGCAAATTTAAGGATGGAGATTGTAACATATCCACAGCTACTTTTGGTAGGCTGTGTAATTTTTTTTCAGGCAATTTTCTCCTGCTTGATATTATTGGATCAGAAGTAATCAGCATCATGTTAAAAACGTCTTGATTCGACTTTTCTCGATCCATTTTTCTGGAATTACTCTCTCTATATTTTTTGAAATTTTTGTTGCTAGCTTCCTGCGCTTCTTCCGATAATTGGCCAATCGGTAACAATGCGTATGCTATTATTTCAGGTCCGTGAATAAAAAATTTATGCAATGTTGGAGGCATATAGTACCACGGATAATGTTCTACAAATATTCTAGCCGTTTCATGTGCATATTCCCGAAACTTATGTACATTTACGTCATGACCACACGAAACAACAATCAGTATATTATGCATTCGGACTATTAAATTAACGTTGATTTTCGTAATCTCCGCTGATAGTTCCGCATTCTGAAAAAAACGCCTGGCCGTATTTCCGTCATTGGAGCTACCGAATCCGGGTTTTGGACAATCAACAATTAAACCAGTCCTCTCTTTAAATTGCTTTTGAATTTCTGCTTTAGTTTTTTCCACAATTTGCTTTTCGGAGTCTGATCTAGCTTGCCATTTTTTGATTGGCAGTTTATATGACAGATGAAGAAGGCACTCAAAAAATCGTATCCATCCATGCAAAATTGATAACCCAAATTGTAAATTATCAGTGTTAATTTCCTTTTTTATAGTTTTATCGATTTGGTTGAAATCTTTGCTGGTGGAGCCGCATAAGTAACACTTTTGTGTAGATGTAGTTTCAGTGAGAGCGTTACAAACTTTACCGTCTATCATCGATAATATTAAGCTATGTCTTACTACTACAACTTTCTCACCAAGTTCCACAGTTGAATTATTTAGATGTTTAATTTCTTCGCTGACTCTATCATGCTCTAGCTTTGACGTAATTGCTGTTTCTTTGATGAACTCAATTTTCAATGGTCTGCAGAATCTGGTAGAAGAAGGGCGAGGATTCTGCCATATAATTTTTTCCCCGCATTCCAACCTTAATGGCACAATTGATGTTATTAACACAGAGGAATCTGTAGCTTCTGTGCCATGAAATGCTTGTTTATATGAGCTATGGCCAGAACTCCCATCGAAGCCCCATTTTGTATATAAACATAATTCAGACAGTTCTTTTTTGTTTAAAGAATCAATCACACTGTTTTGCAGCAGTACTAGGCGTTCAACAGTGTGATTAAGAAGCGCCTGTAAATCAAGTTCGACTGAGGATTCACATACTCTCATACTATCGCTTTTTGGATAACATTGTTTTTTTGCTAACTGGACAGCAGTGTACGAGGGAAACCTTTCTGGAGCAGCCTGTTTCACAATATTATATTGATGCCGCGATAGTCCAGCTTCAACCAAAACAGCTAATGCTTCTTCACTACTCAGTTTGTTGGACACCACCGACTTAAGTAAACTTTTTCTGTATTTATCCGCTCTCGTTGGTGAGCAAGAAGCTACATCATGTACTAACTTAGACGCCCCAATATTACCAGATTCCCTTAACTTCACTTGAGTTGCAAAAGCTAGCATTGATAACGATGTGTTGTCTCTCAAATCCTTGGTTTTTTTGTACTTTGTTTTTGGGCCGGATTCTTCGAAAGCAATCTCTTTGCGACCTCGTTTTAGCTGTTTAGTAAAAAAAGAAATAGAAGAGTCTAACCAATTCCGATGGGTTTTAAAGAAACGTTCTTCTTTTCTATGACATCTTGTCCATCGCGTTTTAAATTCGGAGATGAAACGATTCATTGAGGCTTTAAAAACAGGAATATCTTCATCTGATGGTCCAGTAAGCTTATTTATTTCTTCCTTTAAATAGTTGAACTTATCTTCAAAATGCTGGAATCCTGAGTTTTGCATTAAGTTGTATAGATGTTGACGAGTGAACATACGTGTGCATGAACTTATCCCTAACAAAATAGATAAAACATTTGTTAACTTTTGAAGTGGAAATAATTTTCCATTTAGCTTTTCACAATTAAATTGACATTCACAATTAAATTGACATTCACAATTAAATTGACATTCACTGGCACAAAACTAACATTGTCTATCGAAAAAAATAAAGTAATAAACCATCACAACAGCGCTACAGCGTCAAAAAAAAAAAAAAAATTTTAAGTTTGCCTCCGGTGGGATTCGAACATGAGACCTCCGGATTACTAGGCCAGCACGCTACCTTCGTAACCACGACAGGTTGCGATAAAGTTAGATTAAACTGTATTTTAAGTGATTTCATATCTAACGCTTTACGATCTTTACAAATCAGTAATACAACAACGACACAAAACAAATAATAAATATCAATAAGAAAACAAAACAGAAACACAAAACGCCAGCAACACAAAACATGCAAGGAAATTGATCATTTTTGTCCACTGACATTATGAACAAAAAGTTGAATTAATCAAAAGAGCCACAAAAGCGCACCTCAATTTTTTGCAGAAACATCGTATACAATCCGCAAAATTAAAAAAAAAAAATCATAGCGCGATCTGGTCCGATAATTAACTATATGTCCAACTATATACCACAAATATTCACATTTTGGGGACTTTGAACAAAAAAAATTATTTAAAATATTAAATCACTTTTTTTGCTGCAATACTTATATCTGAAAAATAGTTCAATACCTGAAGTTGAAGGCTCCATACTCAGATTTAGATTTCACTTGAAAATTTTTTAACGAAAAAACACTTTGATTAACTTGAAATATCAATTTTACAGCGGGCGCAAGCGAATAGAGAATGAAAAACACAATGCAGCTGCACTATACAACTTAGCGCCGTTATTTTTTCGGTTAGTGATGCAGAATTATGTCTAGTTTCTATGGTTATTAAGTATTCGAGTGTTATTTCAAAATAAATTTTTTAATTAATCTACACTTTTGATACCCAATACCCCAGTGTGCGCCGCTGCTAAGAACGTAGCAAATAGTCCATCCAACTATCATTGCCATCTAACGAAAGAATACATAATATCTGAGATATCACGACGACGTTACTCCACTCTTCTAGGTGATTGGAAATCCCACTCCCACCACTACGCAACCGTTAACCCAACAAGGACTAAACCCATATTTCCTTCTGTTTTGCCTTTAAAAATATTGAAACCTTTCATTCGTTTACGTCTTCGTCACACCATACCTACACACTAGGGTTATGATTTTTTTACACTTTTTTTAAGTTTTGATTTGCCTGTGCTTGCATTTAATGAACTTTTGTCCATATATTACTTTTTTGGCGATATTTTTGTTGGTTCGTGAAAATACCTCCCACGCACACTATCTGTTGCATGGCAAAGCCCCATACCTAGTATAAAAATTCGACCGAAATTCCTTTTTACCTACCAAGTTTAGATTTAAAAACGATGTGTATCAGCACTAAAATCCACGAATCTATTTTACTTTAATAAAACCATAAAACATTTGAGAAGAAAAACATGTTTGAATATTAATTTTCTCCACTTAGAAACTGATAATAAATTCCGCTATGCGCGGGAGTTTTTTCTATAATTTATCAAAATTGTTGTTATTTTTTGGAAATTCATACAAAAGTTCATCGTTTGCCACCACAGGAATTTAAATCTAAAAAATCATAACCCTACTACACACTCTCATCCTTTGAATCGTTCACCACCAAACAAATTTCCCTACTGCGACGGATTAATATTACTGGAGCACATACTATCATCTTGCCAAAAAATACCAGTTCCCATCAGCACCGCTTTTGAATGCTTTAATCATCTCAATCTGCTCAAAGAGCCCTCGTCAAATATCCGAAGAACTATATACATATAACTTCCTTAAATCAAATGACTTGCTAAGATGGACGTTCAACCTACATAATACTTGTATTGTAATTTCATCTTAAACTTAGTAACTTTGTAGTTTAGCATAATGTAACTAATCAGACAGCTGATGGCCTTTGTTACTAGCGTTTAAAACTTATATTAATAACTTGTTATTATTTAAGTTAAGTAAAAAAATAAATAAATAATAAAAATATAAGCACGTCAGAAGGCGAAGAAAATGCCAAAGCATTACAAACGATTTTTCTATCGACTTAGAAGACAATTTTTCAGAATAATGTCTCAACTTTCGTGCCCAGTGCAGTATACAAAATTAGGATCGGAAGAGTGCTATCAGTTTGGTGGAATATCTAAGAGAAGGTCTTCAAACCATCTACGTAAATGTGGACATCGCACTTCGTATATGTGTGTGTACTAGGGTGGTCCAAAAACAGTAAAGTAGGAATTGTAATGCTCTCACCCCCTAGGATTGTTCTATATCAATGTACCCCTATTTTTTTATTTTTTCTATGTATTTTTATAAGAGAAAAAATAACTTTTCGTAGAAATGGTATAGAATTTTTGAAAGTCAATAGTTTTCGATCGGAAAACTCTGGTTCTCCTCAGGAGACTTTCAATAATAATACCCAATTGTTTATTTAACCATTTTTTAATACTAAAGATTTTTTATTGGCCGCCCTATTGCATTTTTCGGGGTTTTTGTGGGTTTTTGGCGGACCTATAAATTAAAGTTGCGATGGAAAAATGAGTAATTAAACAATTTGGTATTATTATTGGGAGTCTCCTGTAGATAAAAATAGTTTTCTGATCAAAAAATATTGATTTTTAAGAATTCTATATTATTTCTACGAAATGTTGTTTTTTTCCCCTTATAAAATACATGGAAAATTTTGGGCGCTTTGAGCGACCTCTAAATATTTTTTGATTCCAAAATAAAAAAAATAAGGATATATTTTTTCGGTATAGAACAATCCTAGGGGGTAAGAGCATAAAAATTCCGACATGCCAATATTTTAAATGATTCATTAAAATTAAACAAAAAGAATAAATGGACAAGTATGTAATCACACACTGTGATTGTTCACAAAAACAGCAAAACAATTTAAAACATTTTGAATATTAAAAAAATCGCCAAGCGCTTTTTGAATTTTTATTGAAATTACTAAAAAATAGAACAAACTATAGTTTTTATTAAAATAACTAAAAAAAATTGTAGATTTTTGAAGTGGATGATGAGTATTTTTTACGTCAGTTGCAACCCTGGTTAGTAGTAAGCAATACAGGGATTGGTGTTATTTTATCGATAATATAGTTCGAAAAAAGTCTGCAAAAGATAAATTTTATTTGCGGTACCCTAATTATGGGGGTGGCTGGTACTATAGGGCCCAGGGCAAATAAGACTGCAAATCCGCCGCTGCATATGTATGTAAGTAGATATGTGTTTTCAGCTCCTACTTGCACAAAACTTTTCAGTTCAAAACTTTCATTTCAACTGCTTAGACTTTTCCGACCGGGTGTCGCTGTGAAACCTTTGTACAGTAGCAATACACAAATATGTACATACATCAGTGTTGTCACTATTGGTCTTTTCCTACCAAATTAGGTCGCTTCTTTTTCATTTGGTAGGTTGGTCGGCAAAGTAAGATTTTGGTCGGATAGTTGAATTAAGTTTTTAAATTCGTTGTTATCTATATCTATACTAATTATATAAAGAGAAGTCCCTTTTTTTTGTAACAGGTAATCTCGCGAACGGCTGGTCCGATTTTCATGAAATTCTGTATACAAATAGCTTTCGGTAACCACCATGTTTTAGGCTAAAAAAATTTTACTTTTTTCGAGTAGGTGGACCAGGGACCGGTCTATTCGAAAAAATCTTATTATAGTCCGATTTTCTTAAAATCTATTACATAAGTAGCTTGTTAGCATATATTAGCATATATGACCCATTTTTTCCGGGAAGTGGTCCTGGAAAAATCGAATTTACGGTCCGATTTGCTTAAAATTCGGTGCGCAGGTAGCTTTTTAGTATGTATTAGCATATGTGATACATTTTTTCCGAGAAGTGGACCAGGGACCGATCTATTCCAAAAAATCGTATTTATGGTCCGATTTGCTTAAAATTCGGTACGTAAGTAGTTTTTTTAGCATATATTAGGATATATGGTCAATTTTTTCCGAGAAGTGGACAAGGGACTGATCTATTTGAAAAAATCGTATTTACGGTCCGATTTGCTTAAAATTCGGTACGTAGGTAGCTTTTTAGCATATATGATCCATTTTGTCCGAGAAGTGGACCAGGGACCGATCTGTTCGAAGAAATCGTATTTATGGTCCGATTTGCTTAAAATTCGGTACGTAGGTAGCTTTTTGCCTGGATAAGCTTATAGATTCCTGTTTTCCAATTTTCATGCAATTTCGAATATAAATAGCTTTAAGTAACGACCATATCAAGGGGCGAATTCGTCACTAGGCAAGATTTTTTTGCGCCAATCAGAAACAACGGATACTGTCAAAATATAATTATAATATATAATATATCTCAACTAATATATATTTAGAAAGCCGTTTGTTAGTTTTCGCAAGGCTCGAGAGCGGCTGAACCGATTTTTTTGAAACTGCCACCTGCCGCACGTGTCCCAAGGATGGTTTTAGGCTGAAAAAAATCTATATGTAAAGGGGGCGTGGCACTTCCCATACAAACCGAATTTCTCATGCTACATATCTCTGAAAGTGTGCATGGTAGAGTTTTGGAAATTGGTATGGAGATATACGAAATCAATCGCATACCCTTGGAGAAAAATTTTAGCTATCTCATACAAACCGATTTTTTCATTCTGCTTATCTCTGGAAATTTTTTGGTAGAGTTCTAGAGTTTTGTGTGGAGATGTACCAAATAAATCGCATACCTTTGGAGAATAATTGGAACTATTGGAAAAAGGGCGTGGAATCTCATGTTCATGGTAGAGTTCTGAAACTTGGTATTGAGATATACGAAATCAATCGCATACTCATGAAGAAAGAGGGCAGCTGTTGGAAAGGGGGGCGTGGAACCTCCCATATAAATCGAATTTTTATACTGCATATCTCTGAAAGTATTCATGGTACAGTACCGGAACTTCGTATGGAGATATGTATATAGTTGAAATCAAGCCCATACTCATGGAGAAAATTTGGGCTATTTGAAAAGGGGTGTGAGGCCTACAAAGGTACCGACCTTTAGCTATCTTTGAATGCATTTTTTTATTCTTCTGTAGGTGTGTTTGTGAGTGAAATCCTTCTAAATGGTTGCACGGATTTTAACGAAACTTTTTGTGTATTTGAGTGGGTCTCTGGATGGTTTAGTTTCACAATTTAATCCGACAGTTGGCGCTGTAGTTGAGTTATTACTAAAAATCTTATTTATGATCCGATTTGGCTAATGTTTTAAATATGTATGCAATACTATTGCAAAAACGTGCCAAGTGGTGCTGAAGTCGAGAAGTGAGAAAAGGGGCCGTGAAGGTCAGATTAAATCGACCTGTTGCACCATTGAGTATATCGAACGCTCCTGCGTTGCAATTGGCCCAATGGATGTGATTTTCCAATATTATTATGCGTTCAAACTTTTAAGGTATTTCGTCTGAAATAAGTATATGTATATTGCATTTCTGTAGAACAATGATTCGCACCCATTTTGAAATTGCCACCTACTATACTGTAAAGCTTCTAGGACATTCACTATAGAACCGGGTCATTGTTGCCGCCAGGGAGTGAAGAGGAAAAAATTTATTTCGCTTTGCGAATAACCGTGCTATGAAATGCCGCACAACTGGAGAATTTCAAGAACGGATATAACACTTTCCTTAGGTTATTTAAAGCGGCAAATGACCACCAAACCTTAATCTTAGCAGACAAATGTGCCAATGAAAATCGTAAACGTGAATTGTTGGTGAAAATGTTGGACCAAAAAGTTTCCATAAAATATATAAAAACTTTGAGCGGGACGAAGATCGCCGGGTCCGCTAGTAAAAATATACATTTTGCATATAAATATTTTTCAATTGTACCTTACAAACATTTGCCAATCCTGCATTACACTGACACTGTGCCGCAACATATATAGTTTCTGTTCCCACAAAGAGGATACATGAACTGAAGGAATTTCAGGACTACTGTTCGGTAAAACTCAACAAAATCTTGAGCATATCTCAAACACGATGGCTATCACAAGGAATCTTTGTGTTAAGAATAGTTGAGCAATGGGATAGTTTGAAACTTTATTTTATTTCCTGCTTTTACGAAGTAAACGGTCTGTGATCTGCAGACCCGGCAGAAGGAATGTGCTGCAAATCCAAATGCTTTTTTTATTTCTATCGTATATTTTCCCTATAATTCACAATCTTAACAAAAAGCTGAAAGCTCTCGTTTGCTATACTTATATGTATGCAACTATCAAAGCACATTATCTTTTAATTTTGAGTAATTATTAAAAAAGATGCGATCAGTAACATATTAATGTTGATTTTAAAAATGAAAATAATCATGTTAAAATATCTGTAATTTTTGTTGGAACGAAAGCTGAGATGTTTGTGAAAAGTCATGTCAATTGTTCTGGAATCCTTGAAGTTAAAACCAATATATTAAAGTTTTACATAGAGTTTTTGACAAAATAAATTTAAGATTTGATTTTAAGCGTGAAGATATAAAACTTGTACAAATAGTGGCACCAGCAGATTTACCAATTTTACCTCCTTTGTTAAAGTTTCCCCATCTCATAGATTGGGATCCTGATATAATATCCACGCAGTGGAATTTACTGAAGCTAAGTGAGCTTGATATTTCCAGCGATCTGGCTATTGATATATTTTGGAAAAAAGTTTATTAAAAATGGAATATTTATGCTTCTCGTCAATTTAATTTCTAATATAATTTCATTACCACATAGCTCTGCGGCTGCAGAACGCAAATTTTCAAAGCTTTCTTTGATAAAAACTAAATAACTAACTAACTTTGATAAATAACTAAGAAATAAACTTGAGATTGACAGTATCAATAGCATAACGTTATGCAAGGAACTTCAAAAATTACCCACACTATGTGTGGTCAGCTGCTAAAGATTTGCATGTGTAATTAATGGATTTAAATTTACTTTTAAGAAATTTATCTTATTGGTACATAACATGTACATACGTATATAATTCATACAACCAAGAAATGTTAAATGATCTCATCTCTGTGCCTAAGACTGTATCTGCATTTATTTATTTCTTGTTTGTTATAAAATGTACAAATTGCATATATAAATGTATGTAAATGTTTTGCATTCGGAACATTTACGGCTCTATTCTGTATCAGTGACAAATTTTTGTGCATTGAAGTGAGAGGAGATATAAAAATGAGTACGGATTGGAAGACTAGAAATAAATTACTATATGCACACATATATGTATTTTTTTACATCGTCATGAGTATTTATATTTTGTAACACAAACGTCATACTAACAAAATTCTTATATGTATGTATGCATCAATTCATCGAAATATTTTGTTTACCCTTGTGTTTGATAAATGTTACACTCTCAATTTTTATTTCCCTTGAATTTTTTTTAATTACATATGGGAGTACCTTATCGGTTAAAAGGGGAGTCCGTAATTAACTTTTCGATATTTATCATAAAAATGTATCATATGTACATGTACTACGCTTATGCTTTTGTCATATCAATGGAGTTTATACAGGCGTTCTTAAATACGTTACTTGAAATGCATGAATTTTGTTTGAAAATAATAACAGTTCTTTTGTTTTATGTTAAGAAAGCAATTTTTGTTTATATTGATCATAACAAAACTTAATTATAGTGGTTAGGGGTACATACTACCTCTCCGTAGGTTCGATCCCTGGTCCGGGAAACATGTAAATTAGAAAACGTTGTATCTATCTCGGCAGGCAATGGCAAACCTCCGAGTGTATTTCTGCCATGAAAAGGTGTAGAGCTACAATATGATTAGATATTATTATTATCCGACTTCAAATAAGGGAGGAGTTTAAATCATGGGAATTTTTTTATGTATGTTACCTTATAACTTGGACCACGTGAACAGTTTTCGATTATTCTTTTTGATCGGAAAGGTGGTTTCTCAAGAGTGGTTCCATACTAATTTGGTTTAGTTCCGATCATTGTGTCATGAAAAAATTAGCGGTCCTCATACAATTTCATATGAGCATTGAATTCGGTTTTATTTTTTGATTAAAAACTACTTATTTTTATAAGTATATATTGGGCCGTATTGATAAAAACCAAGCGATTGCTGTTTCTTAAAACTTCAGACCTTTAACTTAGCTTTATTTAAATAAGTTCAGAAAAAGGTCGGAAAATAAAAAAAGCAATTGGTTAGTTTTTATTCATACGGCCTATTGTATACTGTGGTATAGCGGAATATGGTAAAGTCTCACCACTATGTTAGTAATGGTATGAAAATACGACCTACAACAATACCACAGTATACGACACCTTGCGCACTCCCTGATTTTTTTTTATACATTACACGTAAAAGAGAAAATCACTTATTCGCGATCTTTTTTTGGAAATAAAAGCAAAACTCTTACTTTCGGCCTATGGTTAAAACCCATAACAATTAATAGTTTTTATAGTTATATTATAATGAACACGCCTAATGTGTCTTGAAAACAACTTTTGGTTTGCTTTACAGCTCTCTTGTGCGCAAAGATAGTTCTCGTATGCTCTCGAAGCAGCGACAATAACCAGAGTTGCCATTTAGGTTCTTTTGAATCTAAAAAATTGGGCTTTAGCTCTTACCTCTTTTTTTTTGCCAAATTATCTAGCACTTTTTAGCTCCAGAAAGTTTTAGTTGTATTCGTTAATATATTAAAATTACATATCTGTAATTTCATTGCACAAGTGTTGACTAAAATTTATTTGTCTTTGGTGATCTCAGCCTACTTTCGAAACCTTCACGCTATTCTATTGCGCGCGGGAGCACACAAATAATACTCGAAATTAGTTCGAGCTCCGAACTGGCAACACTGACAATGATAACTGGTACAGTGTTGCCACAGCCAAATTTTTTTCCTAACAAAACTTCCTACCAAAATCAACCAAAACCTACCAAATTTTGTTTGGCCTTTTTAATATTTTTTTCAATGTCATATTAAAAATTTATATAAAAGCTCGGTTATGCAAAACTTAGACTTGACTTGACTTTGCCTTCCGCCAGTGGGCAGCAATCTGAGATTCTTCCCAGCTCCTAAGTAGTTCTGGCGTGTATCCTTTAGATGTACCACAGAATGGCTCGGGACCATGCAAGCGCATTTTGGCGCACGCTTTGCGAGACAGTCAGCCCTTTCGTTGCCTTCAAGTCCCGGAACCCACTCCAGCGTTACGCTATTGTGGGCTCCCAGGTTGTTCAAGAGTCCAAAAGCCTTGATGCCGTCCTAAAAGAGTCTAAGGACCTTAACACTGCCTGACTATCCGACACAATATTTATTCTGGCCGCGTTTGTCCTTCTACAAAGACATTCGCGAACACAGCCTTCGACTACAAAAACCTCCACCTGGAATATGGCTGGGTACGAGCCCATTGGCTGACTTTTTTGGAATCTTGGTACAAGTACGCCATAGAGTATATCGTCACCTGAAACGCAAAACGACGTTGCATCGTAAATTGAATGGAAAAAGTCGTGACTAATATTTTAATTTATTTGCATAAATTGATGTGGGGAGTTGTAATTCGATGAAATCCATCATATAAATCAAAAAGTGAATTTCGAATTTTTTATCAGCTCCGACTTTTTGCATTTCAGCAATGATGTTTGTTACATCTGTTTGCATTTCAGGTGACGATATATGGATGTTCATGTTGTATATTGGCAATAATGAGGGTATACGTTTGTACTTACGAATCAGTTATATTTACATGTCTGTGGTCGGCGTTATACGAACGCATTGGTGAAATTTATGTATAAACAAGGTTGTTAATATGTTTGGACATACATACTATTTTATATTTTTCGCAAATAACTATTACTCTTTGTCACGGAACCTACCAATATCCAATCTAGCCTACCAACCTACCAAATGGAAAAAGCTACCAGTTTTGGTACGAAAAGTCATGTGTGGCAACACTGAGCTGGTGGCAAATCCCGCCTTAACACCATACCTCCACTGTTGGTTACACCAGCGCTAGCAGTTAGTACTTCGCTAACTGTCATCATCGTTGCAGTCGTCGGTATTGGCATAGATACCGCTAATATCGCCTACATCCATCACGTCCGCGTACCTGTACTTATCACGCGGCTAGTAGTAGTAGTTTGATGTTTGGTACAATCTTTTCCACGGTCCCAAATATTTCCTGCTTTTCGTGTGTATACTTAATATAAATAGATTCATACATATGGACTTACGTATAATATACGTATATACTTGTTATTCATTCGCTTTCCTTCGGTGCAGCATTTTCTTATCTCTGTTATTATTTGACTTTGGCGCATTCGGGGTAGCCAATGACGTGGTCATAGTAAAAACTTTTAATATTTCCTCCTCGCTCCCTCCAAAATCTAGTAAAATTGCATTTTTGCAAACTGACAATCTGAAGTAAAATTTGTGAAAATTTTAACCTCTAGCTGGACAGCAAAAACTTTGGGAACGTGAGTAGCAGCAGGTAAGTGAAGTTTGCTCAAAAAAGAACCCATAAATTACAAAAGTATAAATTGCTAAAGTGGATATACAAAAAACACGCAGTTGGTCCGCAGCAACTTATGTAGTTTGAAAAGATGTTCTCAATGAGTGCTCAAGAAGGTTATCAGAATTGAAAGAAAGTACATATCTGATATAAAAATGTGAATATGTACGAGTAGGTATGTGTGCATGTACATACCCTGCCAGCAATTGGAAGAGAATTTTATCGCCTATCGCTCGGATGTCACTTCTTCGTCACTATTGGAAGTTATCAAAGCGATAGTACCTCATTTCATAAAAACAAAAAACATTTCTGTCGCTTATCTATCTTCTTAAGAGGCGTTCGGACGATTTTTAGTCTTTGAAGTTTTAAAATTAACAAGGCAAATCTTGAAAGTTCAATCAAGTAAAATTATATTTTTGTTTTCAAAAGTTTTTTATTTGTCAGTTAACGTGCAAGCAATCATATTCGAATAACAAATAATAAAATTACGTTTAGATTTTAAACAGATGCGTTATTCGATTTATTATGTTAATGGCTTTTTACCGTACATTTTTGGAACTGCTTTTTAAAATATTTAGTTGGAATTTCATAAAATATAAGTGCGTTTGAGCTAGCAAAGATGAAAATGGCGTAATTAACTCTGCAAATGTGGTTGCAAGCTCAGACGTACCCCAAATTTCGAATAACAAATAATAAAATTACGTTTAGATTTTAAACAGATGCGTTATTCGATTTATTATGTTAATGGCTTTTTACCGTACATTTTTGGAACTGCTTTTTAAAATATTTAGTTGGAATTTCATAAAATATAAGTGCGTTTGAGCTAGCAAAGATGAAAATGGCGTAATTAACTCTGCAAATGTGGTTGCAAGCTCAGAGGTACCCCAAATTTCCTATTAAATTTTATCAAAAATTTAACGAACAGAAGAGTCTTCTTTAACACTTCAGCCTTTAGTTACTGCCATTCCTATTGAAATAGTTCCTAATTGCTGTATCGCTTTCGTATCATAAAGACGTAACGTTTCGGTGGAACAGTTCTTACCGAGAGCGGATAAGGGTCTGATTATGCATACTTCGCATAACTTCGCACAACCATTTGTACCAGTGCACTAAAAGTGTAACTTAAAAAAATGTGAAGCAAAATCTAAACTCAACAGATCGCTAAGTTTTTAAAAGTTCTGCTAATTTCTGGGTAATGGAATACATACAAAATACATACGAAAGTACAGTTTGAAGTTTATGCGAAGTTGTGCGAAGTTATGCGAAGTATGCATAATCAGACCATAAGAATTCGAAAAAAATAGCGATATCATCGGCGATGATTTTCACAGAAATGTCGTGTCGAATTAGTAACTTCCGCAATAGAAAATGCTGGCAGGTATATGACTCTCTATATACAAAAGATTCATAACTCAAAATTTTATAAAATTTATGGGTTACCTTACATACATACGTATGTACTTACGTACGCTATGTACATGTAGGTTGAGGAGGGAGAGGGGGTTGTAGGTGTTCTGATGTGTTCAATTTTTTAATTTTCGTGACATGTTAAAGTTCAGCTAAAAATGTTGTTTCACATGTAATACTATCATGTGTTTCGCGACTTTGAGTTTGCAATGATTTCCAGCTCAAATATTATGGCTGTGTCGCAAGGTGGCAAATTTCGCAACGAATGCGACATTTGCAACAACTTTACATCTTTCATGAATCCCAATAATATACTTTTAAAATTCAAAACTCAAACTCGCACACACATTCTTATTTTTAATATCAAGCAACAAAAAATCTGAACAATTTGATTTTTTCATATTTTTATGTGATTTTAAAATGCGTGCAAATGTCAGAAATAAAATCATGGCCGACGAATTTAGAGAAGGTTTTTACCATGATACAAAAAAGAAGGTAGTTTCAATAAACAACTTTTTGATTAAAAAGCAGATTTTTGACAATTGCTCAATTGTGAAAAATTCGAAGCGACATTACCCAATTGTAAGTTTTTTGGTGTGGGACATTTTATATCCTAAATTTGGGATTATAAAGTAAATAGTTGTATTAATATATACCTTTTAAAACTAATCAATATCTTATTTTGAAAACGTTTAAATTTTACATTAAATTCTATAACAACTTGCCAAATCATTATTTTAATATTAATACAATTTTAGTGAACATATTTTAAAATTATGTTAGTGTCCTCATGTCATCTCATTAATTCACAATGTAGTTTTCTATATCGGATACGTGATTCTGATGTAATTCTGAAATTACACATTTACACAAATTACTGAAATTACACATTTCGATGTGTTATTTAATACATATTGTCTTTGTCCATTTAACAGCAATGGAATTTACTTTGGAACTCATGGGCCGTAAAATTTTTCTAGCAACACATATTGTTTTCACATACAATTTTGACACACCCAAAATTGAAGGATAAAATAAATAGATAAAACCAAATTTTCAATAAAACTGATTTGTGTAGTCCAGGGTCGTCTTTAGTAAATTTTTTGGAGGCTGTTTTAACATATCCTATCTTATTATATATTTCTTAGCTTTTCTACATTCTGAGAAGTTGAGTAAATGAAGTCTAATATTCTTTTTTGGTCAACTACGATGTTTGATTTCATTTTTTGCAATCATTAGTTCATTTCGCTTGAGGAGTCACAATGCCCATACCGGCTTTTTTTGAAATTTCGGACACAAGTTTTCCAATAATGGTTATAGGCTAAAACAAAACCGATATCTAAAGTGCGTGTAGAACCTCCCATAGAAATCGAATTTTTCATAGTGCATATCTCTGGAAGTATTTGTGGTAGAGTCCTGGAACTTTGTATGGATATATGTATATGAAGTCAATCTTAAGCTCATGGAAAAATAAGAGTTTATTGGAAAATGCGGCGTGCCACCGTAGAACTAGGAATAGAGGTAAATGAAATCAATCCCAAACCTATGAAAAATGGGGGTATATGAAAACAATCTCGTAGCCGTTCAAAAGAGCTAGCGGTATAAGCCAAATAAACTTAAATTCTGGTGACGCATAAAAACCTCTGGAAGCATTTACCTAGAATACAGAGATAAGGTATTTTTCCAACGAAAATATGTACAGAAAAACGGGCGCCACACCTTCTGGAAAGTAACATGATCACAGGGTGTATCCCGAAAACCATTTTAAGCTAAACCTTCAGGGATTATATTCTTGCCAAGACCCACAGGCATAAGCCGAAATTGCGTCGCAAGTTTTATGATCGGCTTGGGTAAGGTTTAACCACTTAACCCCCCTTTGTTTTCGTCGCTACTGAATTCTATAAACTGTCAGCTTTCACACAATTTAAAATATACATGTGTATTTAAAAATGTCATGAAAATTGTGTTGCTAGCTTCATGTTGCAAAATGTTTCAATGCAATGTTGTGGAATTTCACACTTATTTCTTGTTTATTTCTTATTATGCTATGCTTAAGAACAAAATATTTTTAAATCGACAAAACATTAATAAGAAAATTTGAAGGATTTTAGATATTGGGTATGGTAGCACGAAATGTCACAATCTGCTTAATTGTCAGGTTGTTAATATGGCGACGAAAAAGTGACAATGGAACTACCTTGTTTTTTGTATCATGGTTTTTACCTCGTAATGTTTTTATCATTATAATTTCTATGAAATCCGATGCAAAAAATGTGCCGTACTACGTTTCTCTCATATTTTTTATATTCCCTCTCAGCATTTTGTTTACTATTTTCTTTATTGTCTTCTGGCTGCCATTTCTGAAATTTCAAAAAAATGCTTGCTTGGCGTCCAATATTATCATATTGGCTAAACAGTTGGATCATATAAACCTATTCTAATTTGTGAACTTATCAAAAAAGAAAAAAATGCACGTCCTTTAACGTACGATAACTAAGGATGACTTCGACTTCTGGCAACACCACAAACAGCTCGCCACCGGTTAAAGAAAAAAAGGCCTACGAAGGGTGACGAAGTGTCCTTATATTTATCCAGCCCAGTATCCTAACTGAAGTCGAACCCATTAGAAGAATGGGAGGAGCTGAAAACTTCGTTTCCTTTGTTGTATAAACAAGCACGATCATATTTACATATAGTTGCAACATCTGTTCATCGCGAACGATTGTTGTCGAAAGCAGGAGCAACAATAACCACCAGTGTTGCTATTTTAGCCGTTTCCCGGCTAGATTTAGCCGGTTGCGATAGCAAGCAGCCGGAGAAAATTCGTTTTAGCCAGAAGCCAATTTGCTAGCCGTTTTGCAAAAAAAAAATTTGCCGATTTTGGTATTTGCTATTCGCCTTCTTTTATTAAAATTCAAATATATACATTTCTACTTTTACAAATTTAGTGATCCAAAATCTATTAGAAATGGCTAGCCTTATCTCGGAGAAGATTTTCATGTCGGACTTTGTTATATAAAATTGAAGGACAATTATAAAATTAAAAATAACACGAATGGTATTCAGATAGTGAGCCGATTTCAATGTTTTTTTGTTTTAAGCGAGTGACCCAAAAGTTAAAAATTTTGCAGAATTTTCATAATTTTTACACAAAATTGAATTCTGGATGTAGTATATTTTAAGTAACCGGCTACATACATATATATTCATAAACAAATAGTAAACATTAAATACACTAAAGAAAAATAGACAAAAATTGTTTAAATGTCGCGTCCAAGTTTATATTTGGGAGGATGCTGCGGGTATTTTCTTCATAAAATTTTTGTTACGAATGTCTTAAATTTAAGTTTGAAGTTTTATTCGCAGCACTTAGAAAATAAAAAAACACGAATTTCAATTTGGAGAAAAACTCTCTGGGAAGACAATACCTGTGTATAATTGCATCATGATGCAAACATACTTAATTTTTGTTATTATTATTAATTCCGTGTTGGTGGCCTTCGGCCGCGCTAGAAGAAAAAATCTCGTCAGTACAACTCCGGTTACTCCATCCACAGTATTTTTGCACAAAATCCACCTCCAAATTTACAAAAAAAGTGCATATTTCAAACAGAAATCTTTATTTATATAAAAGCTTAATCCCTTTGCTAGACGTATATGTAAAATTTTTTTGATTCGTACCCAAGCTGTCTTACTTATGCATTTTTCTAGAAACAAAAATTTTATAAAATGAAACTGCAGTAGTTTACATCTTATGTGGATAATTCTTGTCACAAATATGTATATAGTTTCTCGCTTATAGTTATGTATATATAATTTTTAGCAGCACCACATCTTTATCAGAAAATTCCGAGAATCCTAAAATTGGTACTGTTACAAGTTGTAGCGCATCATTTTAACTCGACCTTCTCCCTCTTCCACGGATAACGGTACATTATTTAGAGGTTTAAAAATATTTTGCGTTAGGAATTTGTCATCAAACTACATTAGATTGTATTATGTACTCTATCCTTGGAAAAGCAAAAAACATTATTTTCGAACCTTTGCTCAGGTGTAACGAATTCTGGCAGTTTGGAAACGAGCAAGACTTTTAATATTTTCATTCAACATCACTAACTTCAAAATTTTCTTTTACTTTACAAGAAACAAAAATTTTGCTGCTAGTGAATCTGGTAGCATGAGTTTAGTTAAATGTCATAAACTTGTTAAAAGTGAAGTGGTCGGCAAAAACAACAAGTGTCAATAAATTAAACTACCTTCTGTTTTTATATCATGGCGTTTTCTTTTCTCGAAATAATGTTGCCCTGTTTGCCTCAGCCCTTTCACAGCTTTACGTGTTCATTTCTCAAAATGTTGCCCGGCGACCAAGCAAAAGTGTCATTTTGCAAGACAAAAAGCAACCTACTGCAAATATTACAATATTTATAAAAAGGCAAAATTGTTCAATAGAAAAAAAGCCATAAGTTTGTAATTTATGTATCTCTTTTTTTATATATAAGTAATAAAAACATGACTTCCGCTGTAAAGCTTAGCTACCCAGTGGGAAAAGTAGTAATGCATTCCACGCGTGATAAATAATCGAATGTAGTTATTTCTTATGAAATACATTCCAATCCAATTACTGTTTAATATGTAGTCAGCATTCTAATGTAATGCAAAATTGAATGCCCCACTTAGGACATCGCCCTGGGGGAAAAAATGCATTTTCGAATGTGAAAAGGGTTGTTTTACTGATTATTTTTTCGATTACTATACTTTACATTTTCCCACCTGGTTAGTATAACGACAGTTTCCTTTGTTAAACAAAAATAAGGTGGTGTACAGCTTAGCTACGTATATCTTTGTTAACAAAAAAAAATTTATGGATTCTAATTGTAATTTTTGTATTTATATAGAACATGTGAATTGTAGTTGAAACATTTTAGCCGTATTTTTTGTCCAATCTAGCCGGCCGCTCCAAAAAATTCTGGCAACACTGATAACCACGTCAAGAAATCGGTTGACTGGCAAACATTTGGAAAAACTTCTATTCTTCTGAAGTACAACAAAAGAAAACTTTTTTCGCTAAAATATTTTATTAATAAACTAGCAGATCCGGCTTCGTCCCGCCCAAAATTAATTTTTTATTGTAACATTTGGTCCAAGGTTTTCACCAGCAATTCACGTTAACGTTTGGTTTTATGGTCGACAGAAGGGATATCCTCTATTGCCGTCTTAAATAACTTGGCGAAAGCGTTATACCGGGAAGAAGTCCTTGCGGCTCGATGGTGAATCGTCCCTGAATCTGTATACTATATGTGGTGGCAATTTCCAAACTGGTGAGTATTATTGGTCCACATTCTGTTTAGTCACCGTAAAGCAAGCACCGCAATGGTTCTGATGGTTGATTTAACGGGGGTAATTTTACTTTGATCCCTGGTGCCTCCGAATTGACGATCTTTGGAAATAACTCGGCTCCAGCGCCACCTTGCGCATCTTTTTTGTATAGTATTACCCCTATCGTTACCAATACATATATATCTCGAATATAAGTCAAATCGGATCACAAATACGATTTTGAGTAATAACTCGACTCCAGCGCCACCTGGCGTTTGGACTTAAACTGTACAGGAACCTACTCAAACACATAAAAAAATGTCATTAAAATCGTTTCGGTCAATTAGGAGGAGTTAATCCACCAGAATAAGTCTTTTACATACTGACAGTCTTCAGCATTTTTTCTCATAAAAAAACTATCACGCATTCTTTATACGGAGAAAGTGCGCTACATCATCAGCGAAAAAGTTCTCAAAAATCAAACGTAACTTATAGCTATTTAAAACTTGTACTTTATGATACTACAAAACTGCCTACTCAAAATTAGGTGCCATTTGATTCAAAATATATTTCTATAAAAAATTAACAAAAAAAATAATTATGAAAGAGAAACACTTCTGGGTGTATATACATATTTACAGATAGGTAAAGGTTTTAATATGTTTGGAAAGCGCCACGCGTCCTTTTCCAGTAGCCCCAAAATCTCTATACCGATTTCCAGGACACTACTTCAAATACTTCCAGAGATATACGGTACGAACAATTCGATATGTATGGGCGATGCCACGCTGCCTTAATATATCGAAATTCTGCAGTAGGTGACCAAAATTAAAACAAAATCGGTACGCGAGATCGCCTCTTATAAAAAAAGGAGCTTATCTTTATATAATATATAGTGTGGGTAACACAGGGCAACACCTATTTTGATGCGGCAAATAAGTGTTTTATTAAATATTTACAAAAATATTGACACGGGAACGATTGCCACAGAATTTTCTTAATGGAAAAAGAAATGGAGCGAAGAAGACTCTGCAAGTCGCCCATATAATTAAACTTGTAGGGATGAAACGATACCATGCAGGTATCGATATTTTTACTTGGAAGTAGTATCGAAAAAAAGTATCGATGCCTGAAAAATATCGGATCTAAAGTATCGATGCCTACTCGTATTGGTACTCACTGTGTATTCCGTATTAAGTTAAATTAATTTTTTTAAATTACAACTTAAAGCTCGGTTAGTCTAGACTTAATTTCCGTAACTTAACTTAATACTTTGGCTAACCCGTTTTTGGTTTTGTATTTCTGAAAAACAAATTAACGCAAACATACCTCAGTAAAGGAATTATTTGTGCATCATGGTTTTCCTCAATTTCTTTGTATTAAATAAGGGCAAAGTTTCTTGTGGTATGCAGTTAGAATAGCCCTTGGTTTATAAGTATTTTCCATACACTAGGTTAGTATTCGTGTATAATTTTATCTACCGTGTTAGCAATCAGTAGTACATTCGGCTCCCGATTGCTGAAGTGTCATAAATTCTCAACAAAAAAGTACACTGACAACTGGGTGTTAAAAACTTGAATATTAGTTAGCTATTTTCATACTAAAAACCTTTTTATTATTTTTCCATATTATATCACGGCCCATAATATCCCGAGCCCGGTAAGATAACGGGAAAGAATTTTCGTGTCATGAAATCTTGTTAAGAGTAGATATTACAAATCCTCAGGGAAATTCAAGGCCTGATTTTAAGCTATAAATACAAAAAGTGGGGGTTTATTTCTTTCTTTAATAACTCATTGGTTGTTTGCATTTTGTGAATAACAGCGACTCCTTGCTGAAAAGTCCAAATATCTTTGGTCGTATTGCTTTGCATAGTCTTCTGTTCTCTTTGCACTGCAAGTTGAATTATTTTGGTATTTGCAAAATTTTATACAGACAAGACTAAAAAGTATAAAATAAATTTAAAAAAACTTTTTAATGTACCACGCTTTTATAAATGGACTAAAATTAGAACATAATATTTCTCAGTCCCATAGAACTTGTTTTGATAACTTTTGATTTTGAAATTTTAGCAAAAGTCATTATAAACAATTTATGAGATTGAAAATGAAAAGCGTGGGTCGTTATCAAAACAAATTCTATGGGATTTAGATATATTATTTTATTACAACGCTTTTATCAACTTGCAATGTTGTATGTCCAGACCGCTTTGAATGTTGTATGTCCAGACCAGTGATCAGCAAAGAGTGCCTATTTTGAGGTTCCCCGCTACTCAGCATTTTTTGCATATAAGTACGTCTAAATCAGCGAAACGCCACCACTCTGATGTACGCATATGCACAACGACATTGATTTATGTGCACAAGTTGCCCTCCATATGAATACGATGCCCTCATCATACTCATACCATCCCCAACAAGTTTGATCCTCAGCTCAACGGAGTTTGATCCACAATATTCATTGCTTGAGTGGAATCATGTGAATCATTCCACCCAACCCGAAATTTGTAAATGCCGCTTCCGCCAACTAGTTAAGGAATTGCTATGCAGATGGTGGTTGTTTTTACCAACGCATGTTAAAATTGCGTTTGTTTATACATGCATGTGTATGTATGTATGTATTTTGGTGATCGTTTATTCATACCCAATTTGCCACAGGGCGAAGACGACGTCGTTACGACGTCGCTCTGGCGAAGTCGTTTTGGTGAACTCGAAACGACGTCGTTACGACGTCGCTCTGGTGAAGTCGTTTGGGTGAACTCTAAACGACGTCGTTACGACGTCGCCCTGGTGAAGTCGTTTTGGTGAACTCGAAACGAATCCGTTTCTTCGAACCTAAAAGTTTTTGAGGTCTAGGTTGGACAAGTTGCACGCCCCAATTTTAATATATCTAAGCATAAATAAATGTCATTCATTTGGATAGTAAACNGTCTAGGTTGGACAAGTTGCACGCCCAAATTTTAATATATCTAAGCATAAATAAAAGTCATTCATTTGGATAGTAAACCGTTTTTATTATGAAAATTTTTTATCATAACAGAATATGGAATCCACAATGTACACTTGACCAGATCTTTTTTTCAGTATTCATAATATTTTTCATATAAAATGTTTTTTTATAAAGGTAAAGTTCATTCTATTGGCCTTATTACTAAAAAATAAAATTTGTGGGAATAAGTTTTTTAATTTGGTAGAAAACTATACTTTTACTTTACAGCGTGGCGACGAACAACTGTTACCCAGGTTTGCTTGAGAAATAAAAGGGTCCTTTATAGATTTTGCGAAAAAAGTATTTTATTGTTAATTTTCCACAGATTTTACTTTAGTCGGATTAATTAGTGTTTAAATTGTAATTCTTATTTACATTTGCCAGCAGTGTAAACTTTGAGAGAAAAGTTCATTTGGCACGCAAGTCTTTTTCAGGTGACAAAAGGGACTCAAAATGGAGAAAATTAGCGGCATCTCATCACAACAGCGGCAATTAGAAGTACGCTTTAATTGTTGATGCCCAGCTCTCAAAAATGATTAATATACTTTAAATATTATTTCATAAGCGTTCCAGCAAAAATTCAACGAATCTGTGGAAATAATAGAGCGAATAACCAAAAGATATTTGCATTACGCTGGAGACAGGATCTCAAAACGGAATAAAAGAAATGTTTCACGGTCGTCTGCATAAATATACTATCTGTCATATTGATAAGTTTTAACAATTTATTTTTTTGTTACTTCATTTTAGTTATCTTTATAAAAATTGGGTTTATTTTTTAACAAGGACCATATAGTTCAAAATTCAAAATTGCGCAATATACATATGCATGTATGTACATATAAAAAAAATTAACAAGCTTTTATAAAAATTTTAAGATTTTTATTCTGCATTAAAGAAACACATATGAAGCAGTTTTAAAGTCCATTGAAGTTTAGTATGTATAATAGAACACAAGGTTGAAGTGTCTAACATTTTATGCACTATAAAACTGCTTCCTATGTGTTTCTTAAATGCAGATTAAAAAGCTTTAAATTTTTATGAAAGCTTGTTGAAATTTTTTTTATATATACATATATATGTATGTATGTATACTGCACATTGCTTTAATTTTGAACTACATGGTCCTTGTTAAAAAATAAACCCAATTATAATTAATTTTAAAGATAAGTAAAATGAAGTAACAAAAAATTAATTGTTAAAACTTATATTATATTAAAATTTTTGTTTATATTTTATGACTGAATGTTTACCTTATTTTTCTTTTTTATTAATATTTAAGTAATTATGTATATTTAAAAAACTTTGAAAAAAATTCAATGAATTAAATTAAACTATTTTAAACTAAAACAAGTAAGAAAGTCTAAGTTCGGGCGGAGCCGAACATTAAATACCCGGCGTAAGTATTAAATATATGTTTTTTCACCCTTCCGAAACCTTCCGCTAGATGGTAAGCCGGGGTGTATCAATTTTGAGTAAATTAGCGTCCTTCAATTTCGAAATATTGAANGACAGACGGACGGACAGACAGACATGGCTTAATCGATTTCTTTTTTCATCCTGATCATTTATGTATACATTTGTCTATATCTATCTCGATTCGTTTTGGCTGTTACAAACAACCGTTATGTGAACAAAATTAATATACCCTTGTGCACAAGTGCGCTCGGGTATAAAAATTGTTTTTAATTTTCTAGCAACTTTGAGCATCGTTTTGCAGTTCGCTGGTATATCGTTTTTGCGACCCGCCGCTAAGTCGTTTTTGCGACTCGCCGGCGACTCGTTTTTGCGACTCGCCGGCGAGTCGTGTTCGCGGCCCGCCGGCGAAGTGTGCTTTTCATCCGACGAGGCGAGTCGTTTGCGACCGTCGCCGGCGAACAAATTGTTCACCAAAACGAGTCGGAAACGACGTCGTTACGACGTCGTTGGCAAATTGGGTATGTACATATGTACATACTTATGTATATATGTTCTTATACAATATTTATATATGTATTTATAAAGAAAGGATTTTGAGAGCACTTTATTTATTTAAGCGCATAACCAGAGGCTAAAGGATAACTTCTAAATACTATTATAAATATGTATGTAAACATAAAATATTTACTGATTGCTCAGGGGATTCGCACAAACGGTAACAATGAAACAATAATATTAAGAGTTCCACAAACGCAACAAAGCAACGTACATACCTATCTAACATAAAATTCATACATACATATTTTTAAGTGATGTAATCATCCGTTTGGCATGCTTAAACTAATGTTTACTCTATTCCTTTAAAACTTCGGGCTTGGATCGCAAAAACAAAAGCAGGTAGTACATTTTTTCATGTGCACTATTTTTTTAAGGGGCGCATGTAATATACTTGAATTGATATGAAAAGTAACATATGTATGTATGTGGGCATATGAATAACGACCGCTTAAAATCGATCTCAAATTTGTACTTTCGCTGTAGTGTTATGTAGTTTGCTTTGTACTGCATGCGCTCCACGTTTTTCGTTTTCAATGTCATTAATTGTTTATAATGACTTTTGCTAAAATTTGAAAATCAAAAGTTATCAAAACAAATTCTGTGGGACTGAGAAATATTATTTTCTACTTTTTAGTCCATTTATAAAAGCGTTGTATATTAAAAAGTTTTTTTTTTTTTAATTTTATATGTTACAGTTTATTTTATCCTCCCATTCTGCCTTTTGATAGTGTTTAGCGTTGGAAAATTTTTGCTCTTAAAATTAAGAAAATGATGTCGGGCAAAAATAAAACTACTCAAAAACGCGAATTTGTGGTAGATTTCAGACCTTGTCTGGTAGATGCCACAATGTGGTAGAAGTCCGATCATTGGTGTTGAGTAATCAGCCTGTAGTCAAATGAACTAGTTGTAAACTACCTCACAACTAGTATGAACCGCATTCCCAACTAGTCAGCCAACAATCTTTTTACCATGCAATCAACTGGTATTTTTAACATGGGGATGTCCTACGAGATGACAATTGTCAGCTTTCGGTCAGAAATATACCAATCTCATACTAGTTGAAAATAGACGGAAAAATACTAGTCCAATTATGGACCAAAACCACTACCTTGGGAGTGAAAAAATAAAATGAATTCATGAATAATATAAAATCAAAATTAAAATAAAGTCAAAAATAATAGAAAATTATCAAAAATAACAAAATAATGACGTAATTAAAATTAATGAATTAATTAATTAATTAATTTTTTTAAGTAATTCATTATTACTCAGGTGGTAATATATCATTAAACGGTTATCCAAAAAACATGCTTTAATTAATATTCATGAATATTAATCATTTAGGAGATTCCCTTAAACTCGTAAAGTCTTAAACTGTGTAAAACTCGTAAGTTTATGAGGCTTTTACGGGAACGCCACCTTTGTGAAAAGGAGCGTGAACTGACTGTTTGACAGATAAACCAGGATTTTGTGAATCAATTTTTGTTTCGTAGTATTTTCTTGTCTCTATTACTATTGGCTAAAATAAAATTAAAAATGCCGAATACTGTTAGTGGATGAAATTCATTTTTTTAATTCACATATTATTTTTCATTTGTTTTCCATATTATAACATACATTTTGGTATATAATTTTCCGCTCTTCGGTAATATTGAAGTCTACGAGGTCGTTTGCGCATCAAATTTGCCTCGTAATTTTACGAGGGGTTCGTAAATAGAGCTCCATAAAAATTTTGATAGTTATTTTACGAAGCTCGTAAATTTACGAGCCTTACGAGGCTTTTACGAGTTTAAGGGAAGACCCCTATTATTTAGCAGGTCTGGTATAATTGAGTACGTACTCGATTTTATGGTTTACAATATACCCAAATAAAAGTTATAATATTTTGTTTACTTTATTGAATTAAACTGTCGAAGTCAAATAAAACAGGGCCTGAATAAATCGTTTTGTACTTGGTACAAGTCTGGTCAATTTCGAACTAGTTCGGTTTCTGTCAGGAAATTCCAGTTGTAAACTAGTATTTTTGCTGACTAGTTTGGGACTTCACTGCCGGGCATTGATGATTTCTTACGGTAAGTTAAGTCAAGACTAACCGAGCTTTTAATCATATTCTGGGAATCTTAAGCTCCGAATAATAAAATTTAATTATGTAGGAACTGATATTAGGCCTGGGTAACGCAGCAAATTTGCGGGCGCTGATACCATGAAGCCAGCGCCATGGCCGGTATCAGCGCACTGAATCCGCGCAATTGCGCCATGTCCCTTTTTGCAAAGCCAAAGCAAAGTGAACGAGCGAAGCGCAACCAGAGAACGTTAATTAACAGCCAGAGGATGGAATTTAACATATTCTGATGAATATGCGAGTAATTATGTACATTTGTATGTATGCTACCGGGAGTAGTGGATATCAATGAACATACATATGCATACGCGCATGGGCATAGCCAAATTTTTTCCTATATATTCAAAAATAGTACCAGGAAATGCTATCTCGATAATTTGGGNTTTTTCATTTGTTTTCCATATTATAACATACATTTTGGTATATAATTTTCCGCTCTTCGGTAATATTGAAGTCTACGAGGTCGTTTGCGCATCAAATTTGCCTCGTAATTTTACGAGGGGTTCGTAAATAGAGCTCCATAAAAATTTTGATAGTTATTTTACGAAGCTCGTAAATTTACGAGCCTTACGAGGCTTTTACGAGTTTAAGGGAAGACCCCTATTATTTAGCAGGTCTGGTATAATTGAGTACGTACTCGATTTTATGGTTTACAATATACCCAAATAAAAGTTATAATATTTTGTTTACTTTATTGTATTAAACTGTCGAAATCAAATAAAACAGGGCATGAATAAATCGTTTTGTACTTGGTACAAGTCTGGTCAATTTCGAACTAGTTCGGTTTCTGTCAGGAAATTCCAGTTGTAAACTAGTATTTTTGCTGACTAGTTTGGGACTTCACTGCCGGGCATTGATGATTTCTTACGGTAAGTTAAGTCAAGACTAACCGAGCTTTTAATCATATTCTGGGAATCTTAAGCTCCGAATAATAAAATTTAATTATGTAGGAACTGATATTAGGCCTGGGTAACGCAGCAAATTTGCGGGCGCTGATACCATGAAGCCAGCGCCATGGCCGGTATCAGCGCACTGAATCCGCGCAATTGCGCCATGTCCCTTTTTGCAAAGCCAAAGCAAAGTGAACGAGCGAAGCGCAACCAGAGAACGTTAATTAACAGCCAGAGGATGGAATTTAACATATTCTGATGAATATGCGAGTAATTATGTACATTTGTATGTATGCTACCGGGAGTAGTGGATATCAATGAACATACATATGCATACGCGCATGGGCATAGCCAAATTTTTTCCTATATATTCAAAAATAGTACCAGGAAATGCTATCTCGATAATTTGGGCCCCCTAACTTTCAAGTTTTTTCCTATGTATATACTATATATAAAATCATAGACTCAATGCTAACAAAATAATTTGTAAATTCTCATAATTAAAAATTTGAATACGTGGATTATCCGGTTCTGTTTCAAGTTATTCTCGCTAACTTCAAAGTAATTCCAATTAAGAAGGGTAAAAACTTGGCTGTAGTCGACAATGAGCGAAAATGGATTGAACAGTAAACTAATAATTAAATTTATAGTTCAATTGTTTATTACTTCGTCTTTACGTTTGTGTCTTCTAAGTGTACATCGA